TGATTTGACTAAAGAATAAGAAGAACGATATTTATATCTTTTTATCAGAGAATGTCATCCACGTTATCAAACTAAGTGTACATGTAGCAAAATCGTTAAAAAAAATGTTCAGGCAAACGGTTGGTCGGCAGCTTGAGCGGCGAGCGATTTGCCGAAGTTGTAAATCCCAGCAGAGTCTGCACGGGCGGCTGCATTGGCTTGCCGGGTGCTGGATCTGCCGCTGAATCATACGGACTATGATAGTAAATTGTGAAGAAATGTGTGGATAAAAAGTATATATTGTGCATATTTGATGGTATTTAAACTAGAATTATCAATGTGGAGTTTTATGTTTTGCAACTTGATACAAAAATCAAATAAAATTTGAAAAACTCCTTAATTCTAGGGATGTTAGAAATTACAATATGTGGCTTTTAGAAGGACCTCACAATTATGCTTAAAATCTGTCCATCTAAATTTGATGGTAACATCTTTTTATTTTGAAAAAATAATTTAGCATCGAAAAGTAGATGCTGCTTAATCTTACATATCAGACTTGGATAAAGTGGCGACGAGGTTTGAATCTTGAATTTTTACTTAGTATTTTGTTTATCTAGTTTTCTAATTTTCTTGAATCTATTCTCTTTTGTGAGAAATTGGCAAAATATTCTTAGATTCTTGAATTTATTGCAGGTGATCTATGATACTAAGAAGAATGAAGGAGTAGAGGATAAATCCAAGATGCCTCTTCTTGTCTATGTATCCCGTGAGAGAAGACCTTCACGGCCTCATCGCTTCAAAGCAGGAGCCCTCAATTCTCTTGTATGCCACACTTCTCTCTCTCCATATCTATCTGTATTATATAACTACATTTAGTTTCATGGTAACTTCTAAGATGCTAATACGACTTTTTCATGCACATTTCAAAAATCGAAACCCTTTAGAAGCTCTAGGAAACTTTTTGACCAAAATATTTGAAAATCTGGATTGAGAATTGCACAAGCTTTGTTGCAAGCATCAACTAAGAATCAACTAAGTTGCAGCTTCAACTAAAAGTTAACACAACCTTCGGCTTTAATCCTTGTACGACTAGTAACTAGAGTTTAATTTACTGTTAAATAGCTTTTTGAACTTGTGAAAATAAATAATCAATTTTAATACCGTAATTCCACAACGAATGAAGTGCTACTTTTTTCACTAATACCTTTCCAAGTGTTGTGTTATGTTGAGTTTCCTATTTCTATTTTCGTGCAACTTATTATATAGTGCAAAAATAATCGAACTCTACCGTTACTGCAGCTTCGAGTTTCTGGGATAATGAGCAATGCACCCTATGTTCTAGTATTAGATTGTGACATGTATTGCAATGATCCTTGCTCTGCCAAACAAGCAATGTGCTTCCATCTTGATCCCAAGATATCAAGATCTCTCTCATATGTACAGTATCCTCAAATATTCTACAATGTCCGCAAGAATGATATTTATGATGGCCAAGCAAGATCTGCTTACAAGGTACAAAAACTGAATATTTTTGCGATTCCGTAAGTTGTTTCACATTTCAGAAATAATCACCTTTTTATGTCTTTGAATGATTGATATTTCTATGTATAGACTAAATATCAAGGCATGGATGGGATAAATGGCACTGTTTGCTCGGGAACTGGCTATTACTTGAAGAAGAAAGCCTTGTTTGGTTGCCCCAATCATGAAGGTTTTCCTATATGCATTTCTCTTGTGGCGTTGATTTTTCATTAGTATTCGACGAGGATATGTCTTGTATGTATTGTTGTATAATACAATATACAATATTTTAACTTATTTTCTTTATTAATACTATCAAGTATGGCATAGTTCACCTTACCAAACATGCCATGAATATAATTGATTGCACTCGGAGAAAAATATAATGTTATCTACTTCTTAAACGTTTGGCAGATGAATTTCTTGATTATGAGCCAGAAAAGAACTTTGGCTTCTCTAGCAAGTTCATTACTTCACTAAAAGCACTAAATGGAAAGAAAGTTGTCAATGAAAGGGAAATTTTATCTGATGCAACTTTGGAAGAGGCAAAGAATCTGGCCTCTTGCAGTTTTGAAGAAAACACAAAATGGGGAAAAGAAGTAAGTTTAATTTGTAAGCTTTAAGCATGTTTGCCGCAGCTTAAAAACAGTTTCTCAGGTTCAATTTTTGGCTTTTTGGGCAGTACGCAGACACATGCTACACAAATAAGCACCTAAAAAGGTTCTCTTAAGTGGGGGCAAAACGTGCTCCTTAGTTCATTTTTTCTGCAATTCTTTGATGATCAAAATTGAATGAATTTTGTTACTCTTTTATGATTACAGATTGGTTATTCATATGATAGTTTGCTGGAGAGCACTTTCACTGGTTATCTTCTGCACTGCAAAGGATGGAAATCGGTTTATCTTTACCCGAAAAGGCCATGTTTTCTTGGTTGCACCACCGTTGACATGAATGATGCCTTGGTTCAACTCATGAAATGGGCTTCTGGATTGGTTCAAGTGGGTTTTTCAAGATTCAGCCCTCTGACTTATGGGGTGTCTAGCATGTCTCTTCTTCAAAGTATGTGCTATGGATACTTTGCATTTACGCATTTTTTCTGCATTGCCTGCCTGTTATATGGCATCACTCCTCAGCTCTGCTTCCTGTTTGGAATTCCCCTATTTCCCGAGGTAAATTTGCATAGTTTTTTCAAGGCTATTTGTTTGATATAGGTTCAGTTGCTGACCCCAAATTTATCTGGGACACCAATTGCACCAGCTGCCAAAGGGCACCTAGGATAGAAAGACTCATAATAGGTGCTGCTTATGAGGAGGGCTTATTCATTTTAAGAAACGCCCTCAGGGAAGCTAATCCTAGATGAGGAGTTAGAGCTTCCGTAGGCTTATTCTACTTGATTTTTATAAATTCACTTCAATCTGTCTTATTTACTTAATTTTGAGCTAGTGTTCTAAGCCTTGTAAATTACTGTTTCAGGTCACAGACCTCTGGTTTGCTGCATTTGCAACTGTGTTTGTGTCATCCCAAGCTCAACATTTATATGAAGTCCTTTCTAGTGGTGGCTCAATTAGGACATGGTGGAATGAACAAAGAATCTGGATGATAAAATCAGTAACCGCTTGCTTATTTGGATGCCTCGACGTTCTCATGAAGTGGATAGGTGTAGCGAAAGCAAGTTTCAGGCTGACGAACAAAGCCATCGACCAAGAAAAATTTGAAAAATACGAGAACGGAAAATTCAACTTACAAGGTGCAAAAACGTTCATGGTACCCTTATCACTGCTAGTTTTATTAAATTTGGGGTGCTTTATTGGTGGAGTGAAAGGGCTTATAAGTGGAAGAAATATTGAAGAAATGTTTGGACAAGGTGCTCTATCCCTTTATATTCTTGTTCTAAGTGTTCCAATTCTTGAAGGACTGATCCGTAAAATGAGCAAATGAAATTGTTGATTTTTTATATTTGTAGATGTAATTCCTATTGGTAACACTTTTCAATAAAGGGATGAAATTTGTAGTGTTTTATTGAGAGAAATGTGTTTTCGATTAGATTCACTATTAAAAAGTGTGGCAATAGAGGCAGAATTTTAGTAACGGATGGCTTCCTTATTACCGACAGATTAACAACATATTAGCAACGAATTATTATTTATCACTATTAAAAAAATATTAAACTATTGATGGAATGACCAACAGAAGTGTCTCCTTTGGTAAGATTTCGTTGCTAATCCGTTGATAAAAATTTTAAAAATATATAAATAATAAAGTAAAAAAATTACCAACGGGAAAAAATTTTTGATGAACTTTTTAAGTAAAATTTAAAAAGTTACTAAATAGTTACCAAAAAAAAATCGGTCGAATTTTTTTGAAAAATATTAAATATTTATTAAACATTTTTCTATGAAAACGCGGTGAGGGTTTCAAAACACGATTTATTGACGGATTGATTCCGTTTGTAAAGGTCTTTTAACTGAAATTCAAGTCATTAACAATGGAAATTCTGTCTTCGAAGTCATTTTTGGTAGTGTTTAAAGTACACCATAATGTTTTGCATATGGGTATTATTCCATGTGTAAATAGTCGGAATAAATGATTTTTCTTTTTCTAATACTCGTGTAATTAAATAGCTACAATAGGAGTACGAGAGAAACTAGGCATAAAAATCACAATAATAACATCAAATTTAATGTAATTCGACAATATATCATATCTATTTCCCCTAGTTGAACTCCAACTAAAATTTCCACTATCAGAATAATTAAATAGAACCACTATGTCTACATGACTATACTAGCTCTCCAAAATTTGGAGACCCTTTTTTGATGTAATTATGAAAGATGATGGGTGACTGATCGATGACATGTGATTTTTATTGGTGATTTATGTGCATGATACAAATTATTCACTTATCATCTATGTTTGTTTTCGCAGAACATCAATTTGACACTCTAGCACATTTAGCAATGTGCAACCAAATATATGGAGCAGTGTCGCGGTTTTTGGAGCAGGTGACAGGCATACAAGTAACCTAACCTTAATGAGATACGGTTCAATATATTCAGCAAGTGTTAAATTTTCTATTGAAGAATTTTGTTTAGTCTCTAGCCTTGGTGTGTGTACCATATATCAATTGAAGAATAGTGCTATTGTCAATTATTTCAGTTGGGTATCAAAGCATTTCAATAGAGTGGGTAGAAAATGTTTTTGAGTGACTGACACGTGATGCAATAGATGAGGTCATGGTAACCTTTTCTATTGTGAATTATTTCAGACTCTCTGTTGAGTATCCGTGCATATTTTTATTTTTTACTTTGAAAAAAAAAATTAATAAAAGAAAGTTTTGAAATATGTTGGGCCCAGTGTGACGGCCCACTAAGTTCATGGTAGACCTTTTCTTTTTGATTGGCTGCTGCTAAATAAGGCATATCTAACTCTAGCTCAATTATTTATTTTTTGAGTTAGAGACTATCGTCAGACACAACTATTAAAAATTGAAAGTCATGCCGTTGGGTTTGGGAGATATGATTATAGGAAAGTAAGTTAAGGAAAGTAAATTCAAATACGAAAGAAACTTCTAGACTTTGGAATGGTGTCCATCAAATTTATATATGCTGAATTTATCTACTACAATGTTAAAGTTGTCTGCATTTTGTCTAGCTGTTCTTTTACAACATGTTTAGTAAGTATTTGATGGGACATAACGATACTATAAATAAAGAGATATTTTCATAAATGTCCAATTTTATGGGTGTCAATTGAAAAATNCTATTACCAAGGTGAGTTCATTTGCTTACATTTGTAATTAGATATTAACCAATTATTGTAGGGAAATTGAAGAAGTTAAAGTAGACGTTCCATTAACACCTATAAAGAAGTATATGATTCCAACTTTGAATAAATAATTTGATTTCAGGTCAACAAATTTAATCGCGTCCAAATTTGAAGTTGATTCGGCTCTCATTATTTCCTGGTAGATTGTATTTTTCTTTGAAATCTTATTTTATTGATAAGTTGTGTTTAGTAGCTGTTATATATTTGATTTCATTAAATTGGATTATCCAAACAAGTAGTAGATATTTGTTGTAACAACATTCTTCAATAACTTAGTTAGATAATAATTTCAGGTACTTCTGTATTGAGAATGTCATTAATGGTG